GTTTGACTGGAAACTTTCAAATATTAATTTATCTTCCAACTAGTACCAAACATGTAAGACTTCAGAAAAACTCAAGCAACATCCTTCCACAGGCAACTATATAATTCAAAAAGGAAAATCTGCAAAATTTCAACAGGTCTAGCAAATTCTTCTAAAGAATTAGTGGAACTAATGACACCACATACGTAAAAATATAAAAGAGTAAAAAAAAAAAAAAAAGCCTATTCTTCCTTCAAGCTTAGATATTAAGTAAGTGGTCAAAATCTGTTCCTGGGATTCCTAGGTTACAGATGTAAAAGATATCCACCCTAGGAAGCAGCATGATACATTATTATCATCTGGATAACTTCAAGTTGAAATAGCCAGCTGCAAGAATTTAGAACAATGTGCTGTAGGACCAAAGGAATTAGAAATTATAACTTCTCCTTGCTCTGCCCTAATTTGTTTATAGGTCAGACTAATTAATGCATTTTCTAGGATTAGAAAAGTTATTATGTTAGTGGTACACAAAAAAAGTACTTCTAAGCAGCTACCAGCAGTCAGTTCATATTTAAACATTAAAAGGAATTAAGAACATGTAATCATTAAATGATGTAATTGGTTCAGTCTTATTAAATCACTACTTAAAAATTCTATTTGTTTTTACCTGCTGTAGAAGACATTAAGGCAAAACCAAGCTGTCCTGAAAGTCATGTAAGTACATTATAGATAAGATGGTTTCAAATATAGATACAAAAGCTTAACTTAAATGAAGAAACACCACTGGATTACTAGACTTGAAGAAACACAGTCAAAAGTCCACTATGACCAGCCAGAGGTGAGCTGGTACTAGCCACTACTGCCGATAGAAGTAAATATGAACATTTAATATAGTTATAATCTTCAGAAGATAATGCAATTGAGTAATGCGGTTCACCATGATTACGGTTATCAGCTTGCACAAAATTTCTTCTCTGAACCTAAAGAAAAAACAGAGTTTTTAAATTTTTTTTCAGCCAAGCACCATTTCATTCCTCAGAGCTGGAAAACTTGTGCTAGTAACCTCATATGAAGTTTCCATTTCATTTTCTGAACTCCTATGAGAAATTTGTATACACAACGCTTCTAACATCTTAGATTTAGTGTAATGAATGAGATACTATAAAGCGGCAGAACACTCCAGGTCACACAAAGAAGTGTGAATGAAATTCGAAGCTAGGCAAGTTCAAAGGATTGCCTAATAATAATTAAAATATTCATACACTATATACTATCTCTATATACACATACCATATAGAGATACTCTTTTATTTTATAGTGACACATATGTTTTACCTCTATAGAATCTGTTCCCACAGAAGACTTAAAATTAGTACATTTGTGCAGATGGTACCCATAATCATGGCCAAATGTACATTAATTTCTTGGAGGAGTATCCTCTAGTAAAGAGCTCAGAGATGACAACTAGACATGACAACGATGAAAATGCCTTCCTGCAATGTAAGTCTTCTGTATGAGTGCACAATGTTCTTACTGCCAAAAGAGGCTGGCAAATTTTGCTGAAATGTAGGCCCAGGACTTTATTTAATTCAAAAGGTCAACCAAGGAAGATATCTGCATTTTCACTAATGATGTTTATCTGTAGCAAGAAAGAGCCACAGATCACATCAGGCATTTGAAAGGTCTGTTTTCACATCATTTGAACATTTACTTCTGGGAATTCAGAAAGTAGTTTGAAGCTGATGAAAGTCATTAACACACTGATCTACATTAAAGCAATGTTTACAATGTGCACAGAATTTCGATTTGACACAAAAGAGTACTAGAACACACAATACAGCAACATGATAGAATAACTACTTTCTAAAGCAACTGATTATAATTACAATAAGAGCACTTTTTTTTTTTCAGGGCACTTAACCTGATCAAAAGCAGAAGAGTTTCAAACTGTCCCTCTTTTGTTTTAAGGGTTTTTTTTGTGTCTGACTGCCAAATTTCAAAGTTGACATCAGCCTCCAGTGCTAATATTAAGTCTCCAGTGTCTGTCACAACTCTAGCAGTCTACTCAGTAAGTCCAAGTAATCCATGAAAAGCACATAAAAGAGTATGGAGAAAAAAAATTCTATCATCAGGAAACTCGAAATTCTCCTCAAGGGCCATCACCTGACACTGAAGTACTGCAAGGATCTATAAATTGTAAAGGGACAAAAACTACACCATTATTCATTAACCAAGAGCAAAAAGAAAACAGCCTAAAAGTGGCCTCTTTGAAGAGCCTGAAAAGGGTCAGAATAAAAAGTCCTACACAGCTATAAACCTTAGCCATCAGTAATCTGCAATTACAGAGCTCCTCTGATCACAAGACTTGCAACAGCAGTTGAAACAGTATTTCTAAACATTATTTAGAAGTCGGTGAATACAAATGTATGAACTGTCAATCCTCATAAAGCCTTAGAATGCTGCAACCAACAGCTTCAAAGGAAGTAAGTTCTAGAAATTTGGCTAAGGTATTAAAAAAACATGAGCCTTGTTTGTACTTGATTGCAAAGGGGAATGAATCACAAGTTTTCAATGCCCTTAAGACTTCTGTACACAAAATTATCACTGGACAGCATTTTTAAGTAAATAATTTAATCATCGAAGCTTCCCAGTACTGTCAGAATTATTTAGAGTTGTTTTTGAGTTTTTATTTAAATATCTGACACTTGTTCAGAAGATCAGTTCCACAACTAAACCAATTACTCCTCTATGGGAAATCATAGCATGTAACCAATCTAACCTACTTTTTAGAAATTCAAAGTATATAAAGACTTATTTATATGGCAATTCCATTTTAACATACATCTGCCAAAACGCTGTCACACACAGATCCTAAGGTCTTAAACAAAGGCAAATGTACTTTTGGCAAATATAACTGGGTGATGGGGGGTTGGCAAATAAAATCCATTACACAAAATGAAAACCCCAACCCCCACACTTCCATTACCTAAAGACAAAGTCTTCAAGCATTCTTGAGAGCTTTGTTCTGGCTTAAGTTTTGAACTCAAAATTTGAGAAGGAATTGTATGTCTATTCCTGCAGCTTCTCATTTGAGATGTATATCCATGAAAGAACAACCTAACACACCTTTCCTGCTTTCCACACAGTTTCTTGGGAAGCACAGTCAGGTGCAGGAACACAAGTACAGTTTGTATCTGTGCATAAGCCTCCTTCTCAAACTAGATGGAAACAAAAAGAACACATGCAGTAACCTACTTTTTTTTTACATGGGATTTATTTTTTTCCAGGAATACTGCCTGTTAATTCTCATAAGGGCCAACTTCAACAAGTTGACCAGAGTAACCACATGTATAATTCTGCCTATGATCAATTTCAACAGTGAACTCTGTAATTTCAGTCAGAAATAAATCGACGTGAAAAATGACATCCCAATGGAAAACATTATCTTGTTTGTGTACCTAGTGCACTGAAATGCAAATTTTACCAGCTGCCTCGCTCATACACCTTCCTAAACTACTACTGCTAACACAGACATACCTACAGATGAAGTGAGAAGAAGTTTAAGGATGAGAGAAGTGCATGTGGGGAACAGGAAAACACATTTCATATGATATCTGAAGCATATACTCAGAAAATAGTAACCAAAACTCCACTATGAAGCTCAAATTAAAACTTTAATACTTTGCAAGTGATGTTAGAGATGCTATGTTTTTGTGGTGAGGAGGCTTTATGATAAAGCAACTTCAGACATATTCCCAGGCATTAAAAAAAAAAAACCCAAAACTCTTATCTTCAAAAATGACATAAGAACCACCATCCAGACTGTGTATCACACCAGCATCTAAATAAACTAGATGTTCTTAATATAGAACATTGATATAAATTCCTTGGGTGAAATGACCCCACCTAACATTCTGAACTTACTGTGGCACTTCTGCTCAAATTTACAGGTGATACCACCACAGTACAATAGAACCTAAAATATTTTCTACTAAAAATAGCACAAGTTTCATGAGAACCCAGTTTTCATAAACCCTCAAATACAGTATTCTAAATATAAATGTTTCTTGACAGAATTAACTCTCAGAAACACTGTAAATGCCAACCTCTCATATTTTTTTGTCTCCAGAACCTGCTCCAGAACTTCAGTTCATGTCAGTTCTCAATTCTCTCATGCTTATCCACCAGGATGTTTTTTCCATGCCATCCATAAACCAAGCATGGAACATTAACACCCTTTTAGAAAGAGGCAATGTAGCTGAAGATTTGCCTGAAAGCTAAAGTCTTAAACACTAGCAGGGTTGTATCTATATCACTGTAGTCTACTTGGCTTGATAAACTCTAGATAAGCATCCTTAAAAACCCTACTTGTACCAGTACACTCAAAGATTTAAAGAGCAAACAACTGAGAGAAGTTATAAGATCCAATACATGAATTCCAGCACACAGTGAAAGCCAGAGAACACAGCTACTTAATTCAACCCCACACGGAACAAGATGGTAGAGTGCCCATTAAAGCGACGACATTAAAGCTCTGTTCACTATACATGAAGCACAGAAGTCAGTTTTACTGTTCATGGGGTTCCTTCCGTAAAGGGGAAAAAAAAAAAAAAAAAAAAAAGTATGAACTTCGGATCTAAGAATACGCTGTCTTTGTAAGGTTAGGAGCCATACCGTACACGAGTCCCAAAAGAACCCCCAAAACAGAGAAGTGAGCAATCCAGCAGCGGGCAGGGTGGAGCAGAAGGCGGGACAATGACCTAATAGGTCTTTTCTATCTTTAGTTTCACGAGGCTCCGTGGCCAAGAGGCGCCGGGATCCCTCGCTCTGCCTCCGGCCGCGTCCCCCTGCAGCGCTCAGCGCCCCAGCCAAGTTCTCCCGAACTCGGCGCTGCCAGCAGGAATCCCGAGGTGAGGGAGCCGGCAGACAGGGAGCCCGAGGCAGCGCCGGAGGCAGAAGCAACGCTCCGAGTCATTTCTCAGCTATGAGCAACACAAGCGATCCGCGCTGCCCGCCCTTACCTTGAACACTTTACCGAAAGCACCATCGCCCAGCTCTCCTATGATTTCCCAGAACTCCTCAGGGTTCAAATCCCTCTTGACGTGCTCGTATTGTTTCTTCTTCTTCTCGCCGCCCAGCTTGAAGATCTTACGAAAGTTGAAGAAGGACATTTTGGCTGCAGCCGAGGGATGGGGCGGGCGGCGGTGCCCCCTCAGCCCGCCGGGACCACCTGGCGCGGCCGGTGATGCCGGGCACGATTCCCACGCGGAGACCAAAGTCTTGGCGTCGCCCGGGAAGCGCCGTCACCGCCGGGCGCTGCGGGGAGACAACACCCCGCGATGC